TATAGCATTAGACCTGTTGTCCTGGCAGGGTTCCTTCCTGGGAATTTGTATTTTGTCTGCCTAAAATGGCTTTAGCAGTTTTGGTTGATGATGTGCTTCACTACATCAGCATGAAAGCTGTTGAGTGATATCACCATCCTAGGAATCTTCCCTGTGGAAATGTTTTGTAGAATTCTGTTCAATGTGGTCCTTTTCATTGTAGTTTTCTATTAATTTCTTCACACTTTCAGTGCAAAATTTTACAAGGGCATTAAAAATCATAATTTAGAAATAATTTGCTGAGACATTACCATCTCTTCCATAGCCTCTTTTGGATTCTTCCCTAATAAATTGTGAGGTTTTTCTATAACTCATTGTGTGATACAAATACAGCTGTGAAGTAGGTGGAACTGGCTTCAAAGTAGCTTATCACTGAACTGCAAAAATTGTCCACTTGATTCTTGTGCTTGATGTGCTTGAGCATATGAATCTCATTCAGATGATGGCCAGAAAATGATTTTCTCTATGTGTTTGGCTGCTGAATTTCTATGCAAAGGTTACTTTTAACATTGCTTGGCACTGATAATGGTCTGCTATGATGCTTAAAGCAGAGATTTAAAAAATGCATTCAAATTTTAAACTCACCATATTTACCCACAAACCATTAGAAATTAAATTAAATACAAATAAATGTAGCCCACAGACCATTAGAAAATAAATCAAAATGTATGTAGCCCACAGACTATTATAAATCAAAGTAAATAACTGGCATTTCAGCAAAAGAGTGGATTATATAGGTGTTCAGGGACTAACAGGGGAAACCTGTGCCCCCAGTCCTGCTCCCCTTGCAGCTGATGCTAATTTTGTGCAGTTTTTGCAAAGCATGAGTTTTTTGAAAGCATATTTTCAGGTTTAAGCTTTTTAATATGAGGCAGGTTTTCTGAGGGGAGGATTCTAGACATGCAAATACAACGTATTATGTGTGCATATACAAACCCACATACATGTTACTAACATATAGGTGGGCACAGTTTTAAATGTGAGCAAGATCTACAGGTTTTAAGGTTTTCTTAACATAATAATGTCAAAATGTAAGGAAATAGCAGCTGTGGAAAAAGAGTGCAAGACTTTTTATTGTAACTTTCTCAATTTGTCTCTCTAGGGCAGCGTGTTGGCAGCCAGGAGATGGAGAGGCCCCACCACAGTCTGTGAGTGAAGACTGCTTGTATCTGAACATCTTTGTTCCTGCCACCACTGTAAGTAAGAGATGAGTCAAATTTGGTTTTGTAGCTAAGCACTGTCTCTTTCAAAGTACTTTTAGTTGGCATGAATGGTTGTGTCTCATTAGGCACTCTGGTGTTTTTACTGATGTGAGAGTATTCCCTAGAGGCTTTCTGTGAGCTGTGTTTGGGTTAACTAGAAGGACAGCATACTAAAAAGAGAAAAATAAGAGAGAGACAAAGAGGAAAACAAAACAGAAGAAGAAGGTGGCAGCAAAGGAGGAGAAATTAAGGACAGAAATGGCAATGTTCCTGCAATGAGACCATTTGTCCAGGAGACAATAATGGAATGAAATGTGTTGGCACTTGCCACCAGTCAGGAGCTGCTGATGTTTTTTTGCACCAGCATCTTTACTGTTCCCTTGTTGACATCTGTGGGAGGTCTGTTGAGGAATGAGGGCGGCAAGCAATGCTAGATTTGTGCCCAGCTCACAGAGCCTAAAAATAGACATTTCAAAGGTGACTGGGCCAATGGTACAATATGAGAAATAGTCACTTGGAAGTCCTTGATTTTCTGGATCTAAACAGATAAAAAAGAAAGCTTCAAGTTAAAGCCAAGCTAAAATGATTGTTCAACCCCTGGAGGGCTGGGGATAAAGAAGTTGAATAACATGTGAATCCCACTGAAGAGTGAGTCCAGAGACAGGAACTTTTTCTTTCAACAGTACTGGCAATTTTCAGAAGGTGATGGTATAATAGAAATTTATGCATCTGTCACACTGCATATCTGGAAAGGGCTGGTCTAGCTATCTGACAGCAGCACAGAGAGTCCCTTGCAGGGCTGTTTTAATCATCAGAGAGACCAGCAGTCTGTCTTCTTCCTGCAGCATCAGACTGTCTTTTTGCCTTGAGTGCAGTCACCACTTATTGAAAACATCAGGTCACTGTCCCAGGCAGTTTGCCATCTATGCTTAAGAGCTGCTTTCAAATACTTTATTTGAAAGCATTGTATTTTCTACCATCTGATAGACTAAGTAAGCTTGCCTCTTCTCCTTGGCAGCCCTGCAAACTGAATCCCTCCTGTCTTTTGTAGAGGTGTAAGGTAGAAGTAGTCAATCAGTTTCACATGCATAAGACTAGCTCAAGAGAGAACTAAAACTTCTGGTTTTGCAGAAGTAGCTGGGAGCAGAAGGCATGGCATTTTCCTGTCTCTTTTTGTGGTTAGCTCTATTTTTTACTCACATAGAGAGAGCTATAGTTATATATTTTCAGCCCTCAGAAAGTTACATTGGCTAGTAAATACGGAATATAAAGTCTCCTAGAGAGCAGTGAATGCAGAGGTCATTCAGGAGCATTTTGAGCTCCAACAAAGCACTGTGTGAGGACTGCTGCTTGTCACTGAAGGACTCTTCAAAGTGTCAAGCAGTGAAGAAGGTGAATGATGTCACCTCGTTTTGCTTCCATAGCTACATGTACCACAATTAAACTAGTGTTTCTGACTTTTTTCCACCCATAACCATCCCCACCTGTCACACTAGCAAAGCAAAGCTGTGCTTCAGCTTGATTTACAAAGGGTTCAATTGTAAGATCAAGACTAGAAAATCTCTACTAAATAAGAATAGAAGGTGTACTGTTTCTCCTCTTACCCCATCCCCTGCACATGTTATTCCCATTCTTATTGCATCATCCTCATTGCACTGAAGTCCTTACAGAGCAATATTGTACAGTAGTAAAAGCACTGGAGGTTGCATGGCTTAACAGAGTTTAAATCTATCCCTACCAAGTAGCTTGTTAAGTGTTTTACAGAAGGATGAACAGAGAGGTTTGACCAGATGACCCCACCAGCAGCCCCTTCCAACATTAACCATTCTGTGATGGAGAGGATGGTTCTGAATATTATGAAGCCTTTCAGACTTCCAGTGAGCTTGCAGCTTCCTGGTGGCTGCCAAACTTCACTCCCCCACTACGTTTTTTTGCATGGAGCATAAGTCCCTGCAGTCATGAGACCATGATGGAGCTGCTGGGCTCCCCATTGCTTGATGCAGACTAGAAATGGGAATGCCATGTCTAGACACTTGGCACTGGGCACAGTCCTAGTGTTAGATCTTCCCCTGAATTGCCCCATATCTGTTGCAATTGTTGCAAATGGTTTTGGTTTGCCATTTCAAAATTTTAATACCCATCTTTGCCTTCCTTCAGCTTTTCTTCACTACAGCATTGGGTAATGACACTCAGAAAAATGTAATATGGAATTTACAGGGAAGCTGGAGGTCATGGTGCTATGAAGGCTGTGGACACATGAGAAATGCTTAATGTGAACCTCAGGCTTAACCATGCTGAGCTGAGGGGATGGAACAAGCTCAATATGATGGTTAATACTGTTTTAGTTGACACAGCTCAATGTAGTCATATTTCAGAATGAATTTCCGTGTGAAAACAGATTATTTAATTTTTTGCCTTTACCCCCATCACTCTCTGTGCTGCATGCAGTGCAGAAATGGGAACCGGGGACAAGATGCTGTGAATGAGGAAATTTCCATGCAGGAGAAGATCCCGAGAAGAAACAAAATGTCTCAGTGCTTGCAGTTTCTTGGGTTTTCTCAGTAACACTGTTGTGCTCACAAGAAGCCCCTGAAATTATTCACCAGATAGGTAAACAAGAAATGCACACAGTTGTGACATACTAAGGGCAGCAGAGGAGAGTTTGCCTCCTAGCCTGTAATTTTGCAGGATGCTGCAGCCATCACTGCTCTGCTGCTTCTCCCATACAGCCAGTTGTGTTTTTGCTGGAGGTGTCCTTTGCCAGAGCAGATGGGACTGCTGTGTTTTGCTAAGCTCCATCCAGAAAATAACAGCAACAGAGCCCATTGCCCTCCAGCTCACGGAAAACCAACCCCAGATGTACTTTGATGCTGCTGCAGGGGCCACCAGCCCTTCTTTGGAAAACACCACCAGCTGCCAAATCAGAAATAGGGACAGTGGGTGTGTGTGACCTGCTGCTGAGCAGAGGAGAGAGGATAGTCCCAAAGTGGGCAATAGGGGATGAAAGTACTGAATGGAAAATTGAGGTTACACTTTGAAAAAATCTTTGGAAGGAAAAAAGCCCCCAAAGACTGAAAGCAAAAGCAAAACCAAACCCCTCCGTATGTTTCACCAAGGGATATTTCTTTTGAGTGCCATCTTGACAGAGCTATAAGCTGCTAAGTGCTGAGATCTCCTGGAGCAGTTCTGCCTTTTTGCTGCTCATGCAACAGCAGCCTGGCTGCAGCCCTGCTGTGTGTACAGTGTGTCCACACCTGGTGCTGCTTTGGGAAAAAGCCTCTGTTTCTGTGGAAAATCAGGTGGCCCTGCAAGGAGTGCTAACATGGGTTGTAGACCATTATAGCTGTTTCCCATCCTAGGGGTCCTGCTGGGGTCTTTTGGGGCAGAGTCCCTCTGTGCTTCATGAGAGGTGAGTCTCTCTCTTGCAGAGGCAAAGTCCTCTCTGCAGGACCCCTCTATATATCTAGTAGGGGAAAACCTGCATGGGGATTGAAGAAGCACTGAGGAGCACTTATCAAGTGAAACTGAGACTAGGAAGTATTCAGGTGCTGACGACTTGAGAGCAGGAAGCATCCCTGCACAGCTATTGCCTTAGTCTTGCTCAATGAAGCAACCCAACAGGCCTTTTCCTTCTCCTGTTTCCCACTTGTTTGAACTTTTTCTGCATGTTTGTATGAAGCCAATGTGGTATAGCAAAGACAAGCTCACCACATGCTCAGTGACCAAGGCAGCAGGGGCTGCTTTGAGCTGTCCTAGAAGTGATGTTGGTTGGTGGAACACCATGGTGCTATTAGATCTACTTTATCCTGGACACAGTGCCCTCTTTAATGGTATATAGGTCACTGTGGACAATTTGTGGACAATATCTCTGAAATTCCAGATAGCCAGATATCAGATGGTCACTGTTAAAGGGCTATAAATGGTTTCTATAATACCAAGGGGGAAGATACTCGTGTTCTCATCAGTGACATAGAGAAACAGTTTTGCTACAGGAATATTAACCTGATTATTGTTATGACAGGTCAAAAACATGGCAGTGTTGCTGTTCTTTCACAATGGAGGGAGTTACAATGCTGAGGAGGGAAAGACAACTCTAGATGGATCATACCTAGCTGCCATTGGTAATGTCATTGTCGTGACAGCAAACTACCGGGTCGGTGCCTTTGGCTTCCTTAGCACTGGTAAGTCATGGATTTCTAGAACAAGCACAACTATGAGCTAAACTGCATTCTGTAACACTTCTGTTTCTGATTTTTATTTTTAACGTTTTTTAACTTGAGATATCCCATATCTTTCACTGATTTATTTATTTTAATTTTTTGCAAAAAAAGTGGCCAAGAAATGGTGGAGAATTGGTTTGAAGAGAAAGGGGAGGGGCTGGAGGAACAGGTACAACAACAAATCAAACCCAATCATCTATATCAAAGCACTGGCTAGACTTCTGTTTGCAGATGTAACTGTGGATATTGGGTTTTGCAGACACAGAGATATGTTAGGCATCAAAATTCCTGCTAATTCCAATGGCTTACCATTGTGTGTATGGTTTTCAATAATTCCAACTGCCAACTTCTTCCATCCATGGAATTTTGCTGATGCTCTGTTGTGCCCCTGTCAGAGTGAGAAAGAGACAGAGAGGGATAACTGGAGGTTCATGGTAAGAAGGATGTGAAAGGATGGAAAGTATGTCACAAAGGTAGTTGGTTGGTTCCTCAGCAATTCAGCCTGACTTTTCCACTGAAACACTTGCACATTTAATTTGAATTTGTTAGCCCTCTATGCTATCCTGGATGTGACTGAACATTTGCATGTTCTATGTTTGCATCCATTCCCCATACTCTAGTGTAAAGGATGCTTGTTCTCCTATTGCCTCCTCATACCAACTGCCATTAAAACTATATAAATTCCCATTGTCTTGTACAAAGAAGCACATACATATAAAACCACACAGTTGATCTCCCTAAACATTTGTGGTAGTGCCATCTGGTTTTTGCAACTTTTTTTTCTTTTTGCCTTTTATTAGACTTGCCTGTTTAAGAAGTAGGGAACATTTTTCTTCCTATCATCTTTCACTTCTGCCTGGGGCAGGGTAACTTAAGTTAGAGAGCCACGGAGTGAAAATACAACAATTGCAACTGGAGCTCCATCTCTATTGGTCTCATGGCAATCCTTGATCTGTCTAAGGGAGATTTTAATACCTTTATAACATTTAAGAGGTTATATTTGCCATGTTTGCAAATACCAGACCTACACACTTTACCTCATGATTCTTTTGAGTGTTCACTGCTAGTGATGCTGCATGAATTTTACCTGGTTTGGGGTTATAGCTGCAGTTATTGTTTATTGTTTCACTTCTCTGTTTACTGTTTTGGTCAAAGCTCACTGCCAGCAAAGCCTGCCTTTCATTCAGTAACTAGAGAGCTGGCACCTCAAGCTCCTTACTTACATAAGAGGTTGGTAGCAGGTCCATCTAGGGGAAAAAGAAAATCACTGTTTTCATCAGTGCAAACTCAATTTTCTGAAAGTGATACCATCACTTCATTTTGTCTAGAGCCAAATGCAGTGTGGATATGTGCTGTGGAAGCTTCCATTACACAGCACTGCCCACGCATTACCCACTAACCTCCTTCAGCCCTGAGAATCTCATCTCGGTTTCTTCCTTAGTGGAAACTGCTAGCTGCACTGGATATTATCTAGCAGCATTTATATGATCGTCCATAATTTAGGGATCAAGAAAATTCTTCGGTCTCTTTCATAGGGATCTGCCTGCATATCCCAAAATATCAGTCTGTGGGCTTGGTGTACCTGATTGCCATTCCTGAAGGACTTCAGATAGTGGTGGTTCATTATGAGTAGGGACTATTTGGGGACCTTCTCCTCCTCTGTACTGTGGCCAAGGAAAAGTGCAGTCTTGCCTGGCCTCTTCCTCTGTGGGAAGTCCTTGGTGTGCATTTGGGAAAATCCTAGAAACACAGAATAAAAACTAGAATACCCTGAGCTGGAAAGGACCCAAAGTGCAACTCTTGGCCCTGCATGGGACAACCCCAAAACCCACACCATATACCTGAGATCATTTGCCAAACGCATCCCGAATTCTGTCAGGCTTGGTGCCATGATCACTTCCCTGGGGTTATGGCACTCTCTCAGTGAAGAACCTTTTCCTAATATGCAATGTAAACCCCACCTGACACAGCTTCATGCCATTCCCTTGGGTCCTGTCACTGGTCACCAGAGAGAGGAGATCAGTGCTGCCCCTTGTGAGGAAGATGTTTGCTATGCTGAATCTTGTTACTACAAAAATCTTGAAATTCTGTTGCTTCAGAGGGAACTGGAGCAAGGAGGACAAGCTCTTAACAAGAGTCATTGGAGCAAGCTATGCCCTGTATTTATGGGAAGCTCTAGGAATTCCTTCAGTATCACACTCCTGTCTCCCCTATGTCCCCTTTGCTCCATAGTGGGGGTGATGACATGTGTGTGTTCATACCAGGCTCCTCAGCAGCAGAGATTTTCAGTCATACCCATTCTGGTAAGTAGTGTTCCCCCTGCAAGACTTATGCTTTGGTCCACCACAGGTTGATGGAGTATCTCTGAATTCTCTTGTACATGGCAGGTAGCCACTGGGGATTTTCAATGAATGTTATCAAGCTGGTTTGTTGGTTTTTTTCTCAAGACTCAAACCAAATCCTTAATGATATTACAGGGATTTTTCCATTCTTACTGAAAGGCTTGGAAAAATTCTGGTCCTTTGGAAGTTTTGCCATTGGTTTCAAATGGGGCAGGAATTTACCCTTAGGACTGTGGGGACATTGGCAGGACTGCTAGAAGGTCCTACAGTTAGAAATAAAAGTTATGAACTTGTGAGCAATATTAGTTTCATTGTTCAACTAAGCAAAGTGCTGAATCTTCTCAAGTTGACTTGTTATAAATTGCAAAACTCTAAGTGAAGGAGTTAAATGGATGCCTAGGGAACTGAAGGGTAGTGAAAACAACAGATTTCCTTTTGTTTGGTTGGGGTTTTTTGGTAGTTCTGCAATTGTTTTGGTCTCTTGATGGCAGAGTTTTTCAAGAACTGAAAGTGCTCTGTTTCTTCTAAGTATAAAAGATGTCTCATTTAATTTTCTATCATCCATTAATGTTGCAAAAAGTGATGCATATTCTTACTAGTGCCTTCACCTCTTGCTTTGCATCCAGAAATGTTAAGGTGAATTGCCAGTGATACAAATGTCAGGAACATGGAGAAGACAGTCATGTTTTATGTTTGATTCTCTTAAAATTCCATGAAGTCATATAAAACAAATGATTTTCATTCTGTAATTTAGCAGTATTGTTCTTCTCCAGTTTAGTAATAACAGAAATGCACACTGGTTTATTTTCAAATGCCTGGTCCTCAGGAATGTGATCATCTTCTGCAAAAAGGCAGAGGAAAAGATTCCTGGCAGATGTGTTTCTTTTGGTCTAACTACTATGAATGTCCATGTGTACATCTGTTCCCCAGTGTGGGTACATTTCACAACCCATTTGTGGTTTTTTTTGCCAGGGTGAAAGGAACTGGTTATATTTTCCTCTTAGGTCTTTCTGTTCAGTATATTGGTAGTGAGGCAGATTGTGTGGCTAAAACATTTACATGGGTTTACATATAAATTTTTTTCACCAGAAGATTGTCAAGCATTGGAGCAGGCTTATCCAAGGCAGTGGTAAAGTCATCAGCCCTGGAGGTACTTAAGAGACATGAAGATATGGCACCTGGGGACATGGTTGATGGACTTGGCAATGCTGGGTTAACTGTTGGACTCCATGATCTTAAGGGTCTCTTCCAACCTAAATGATTTTGTGATTTCGCCTCCTCTGGGGAGGTCTCATGAGGGATGCAGCAAGCCCTTAAAATGATATTTCCTTTTTAACAGCATGGAGTGGATTCATTGATGGGTTGAGATCCCTGGAAACTGGTCATGGTGTGCAAAACAAACTAAACACAGCCCAAAATCCTAAAAACTAAGTAAGGAAATTTTTTCCTCCATTTCTTCACTGGTGTGACTTGGACTGATCATCTGAAACTATAGCTATAGGTGAAAGGCTGTAGGTTCTGGGGCCATTTAGTTTTTGGCTGTCCTACTGAAAGGATGCTTAGAGTGATGGTTAGTGTGATGTGGGTGTCTCTAAGACCTGCAAGGCTACCAACAATCTGTTTTCTGTATTCTATTCTGCTGCATAAACTGGTGTCTGTGATACCTCAGTAATTCCTTACAGTAGACACATAGATATCTACCACAGGATGTATGATTTCAATGCTCTTTGCTCAAGACAGGGCACAAAGTGGAGCTTTATATTCCACTGTGTGTTGATTTTGATTCACTAGTTTCTGAACCTACCGTTACTTTAAAATTGTTCTATTTGGCCTTGGCAATGGAAGAAACAAATAGTTTCAGCTGTTTTTCTATTCATGGCTTTTCTGTCTTGTCCTCTGGAGGGTTTTTTTTCCCAAGTTTTAAATGTGGCGACTTTTAAAACTTTCAAAATTAATGACTCATTGTGGATTAAAAAGTAGACAGTGAATAATCATTTTCTAGACTTTTCTTACAGACCGTGGAAGAATTACTTATTTCTTGATATAAAATTAAGCTTACCTAGGGAGTTGCATCATTAGATGCTTTCAGCATTAATTTCCTATTAATCAAAGTATCAGGTTACCCCTTGTTTGTGCTGAAAAGAAAGTAGTCTTTTCAGTAGTGATACCTAGGCATGGGAAGGCCATGATTAATTGTTTGTTTTCATAACAAAAACATTAATACATATTTATCAGATCTTTATCAGTTAGACACAGGACAATCTCAGAGGATATAGCTGGAGATATTATAAATTTTAAAATAATATCTGGAAGTGTGTAAAGAAATGTAAGATATTGTGACTTATACATGATTGTTCAGACAGGGTAAGTGTAAAAGGGATACAGGAAGGAAACATGCAATTAGGTGTACTCCAGGGAAGCAGTTGATGATCCTCATGGTCCCTTCCAGCTCAAGAACTTGGCAAACACACAGATTTTCTGTTTGCTTTTAATCCATTTTAAGATCGAGCTACTTCTGTAGAAAAAGAATCTCATGGCTAAATTTATGAGTACTTGAGCCTGCATTCAAGTCTCTTGCCATGATGTGTCCAAATGAAGCTTAGAAGTTGGAGTGTTATTTTTCTGTCATCAGGACAGACAATGAGGCACTTCCAGGCCTGCCTGGTGGAATGGTAAAACCTGAACTGGACTCAGTCTGTAAAGTGATGACCTTAGAAGAGACCACTTCGGACCTCTTAAACTCTCATATCAGTTTTGTCAAGGTTCAGCTGTAAGAGCTGCTAAAACCATAACATTTAGTCAAAACTTCAAACGTTTATAGTTTTATTTCTCTTCAGACCTATTTATTTATTTCCTACAACAGGTTCTGCTGGGGTGAGTGGAAATGCTGGCCTTTTGGATCAGTTAGCAGCTTTGAAGTGGGTACAGCAGAACATTGCCAGCTTCGGAGGAGATCCCAGATGGGTTTCTTTAGGAGCTGACCGCAGTGGGGCAGATCTTACCAGCATTCACCTGCTCACAGAGACAGCAGATATGGGACTTTTCAGGAGGGTGTTGTTGATGGTAAGTTCCAAAGCTTCATTGGGATGTTGTTACAGAGATGAGGATGTTGCAGTGTGTGGGTGCTGATTTGATTTCATCCATACCTTAGCAGCACTAATAGGGCTGTTACTGCTATAGTTATTTTTCATCTCACCTGTGACTGTTATCTCCAGGAGCTGAGTGCTTCACCAGGATGTACAAGAGATGCACTTTGGTGTTTGATTTACTCATAGTAAGAATCTAGTTGTTGTTACAGAGATGAGGATGTTGCAGTGTGTGGGTGCTGATTTGATTTCATCCATACCTTAGCAGCACTAATAGGGCTGTTACTGCTATAGTTATTTTTCATCTCACCTGTGACTGTTATCTCCAGGAGCTGAGTGCTTCACCAGGATGTACAAGAGATGCACTTTGGTGTTTGATTTACTCATAGTAAGAATCTAGTTTTCGTCATTGTGGGTTTTTGTGTATTATATAAATAGACTTGTTTCATAACTTATAGGTACAACAGCCTAGTTTCCATTCCATAATATGGTTGTTGATCAGCAGTTTTTAGACTCTAAAACTGATGAGCCAAACTTCCTCATGTTAAAGTATCCAATCTTTTTATCTGATCTTGTGACACATTTCATTTAAAAGAAAAAGCAAATTTCAGAGAGTAAAAATGGGTTTACTGATGGGCTTGTTTGCTGTCAGCTTAGACCATTTTCTCAGTCACTCCAAGTGACCCATATTTTGACAGCCTTTTCTCTGTTAATCTCAGGACTTTGAGATCAGTTTTGTCAGCATCAATACTGCCATTTATCATTACAGCCTCAGAGAAGGGTAGTGTGCTCTGAAATGAGACTAAATCATCAGAGGAAGTTTATACATCCAGCAGAAATGGCACTTGGACAAATGATCTCTCTGCTACCAGTGTTGACTTGGAACAGTGATCAGTGGAAAAGAATTCTTGGTCCAGGAAACCTAGGATTCAATTAAATGAAATCTTACCTTGAAAATTATGACATCTTTATTCAGTACTTAATTTTTCTTCAGTGTGCCCTTGTTTCAGGAGACATAATTTGCCATTTTCGTCCCCATGTCGCAATAATATCATTTTAATTGTATTGCTTTAGTGGGGAAGGTAAATAGGAGACATAATTTGCCATTTTCATCCCCATGTCGCAATAATATCATTGTATTGCTTTAGTGGGGAAGGTAAAGGGAGTTGTTGAAAATTACTGCTCAGGAGCTGTGTTTTTCATGTCATTCTCAGATAATTCCTCAGAGACTTCCTAGATTTTTACTCGGGTCTTGTCGTAGCAGTTAATTTCCTAGTAGACCCAGAGTCCTTTTCTCTCAGTTTCATCCTATTTTTACTGTACCCTCTCAAAGCCTTTACTGACATGGCTCAGCATGAAGACAAGTGAAAGATGTAGCAGGATACAATGCAATTAACCAGCTGAGTCATTTATGAAAGAGAAGTGCAAGGACCTCTTTGCTTATTGTTATTTCTGGACTGTAATTCCACAGTTACATCTTTTAAATGTAAAGTTTGAACTCCTCCTTTCTCCTACAGCAGGACATCAAATAATGGAAAACACTGGCAAATGCAATGAGTAGGCAGGTGCAGTAATTCTTCCCACTAGTGTTTGTAACAACAGTTTTCTTCCTGAGACTGGGCAGGCTACTGTCTTGGTAAAAGCAGGATCTCCACTTCTTTCAAAGTAGTGTTAGCTGTTTATCCTGACTGTTGTGGTGGATTTAGTTTTCTTGTGAAATACACAGATAAAATAAAAACCAAGCATGAATAGCAGTGGCTTAAAAATATACCCTATCTTTTTTTATTCTTTTTAAAGAAGCATTGCCAATTGCAACTGTTACTCAGATTTCTTACCTAAACCTCCTTTAAAGGGATGAGTCTTGGTTTTGTTCCAAGACACCAAAACCATTGTGTACTTTTAATTTTACTGTAAAAAAAGGATGTGTGCACAGACTGAGAATAATGAAACTGAGAATATTTACCAGATATAGCTTTCCTGAGGGAAAATCCATGAAGCAATACAGCTCTTCTGCAAAAGTCAGCTTTGTGCCCCTTGTTTTGGTCTTTCTTATGCATGAAAAAATCATACTGTTTCTGAGCATAGAGAGATGTGGCATATGGAACTTGCTCTATAGTAAGTAATGCACATGAAATAACAAAATCCTTTGGAGTTTTCTATGTCTGCCCTATAATAGTTGGGTTTTTTGTGGAACAGACCTGAAAACAGATTGTAGAAAATCAATACAAAGGTATCATGAGACTTTTAAAAATTATTTCATCTTTCAATAGTATGATTAGAAAAAAAAGTGGTACTGCTGTTTATGGTCTGGTTTTAAATGGTTTAAGAGCATTAACCTGGTGTTTGAATTCCTCTTTTGATTAATTGATTTATTTATCAGTGCAATTCTCTACTGATCCCAGTTTTGCTATAATCCTACCCAAATTTGGTATTTCTGATATTGTTTCTTAGGTAGTCTCAGATGTGTATACAATCACCTCAGTGCTGTTGGCCCTTGCAAGGTTGTGCTTCCCAAAAGGTCCTCAATATGATCTTCCAGTTATCAATGAGAATGGCCAGACCTCACAGAATTTCCTGATATCCACCTGTGAAGTCCAGCCTTCCCTATGGCACATTTCATTAGTTTTTGTCTGTTTCTCATGTCATGACTGTGAGGGTGACTGAGTGCCTGCACAGGTTGCTCAGGGAGGTTGTGGAGCCTGGAGATATTCCAAAGCCATCTGGACATGGTCCTGGGCAGCCAGCCCAAGGTAGCCCTGATGGAACAGGGTGTTGGACCAGATGACATCCAGAGGTCCCTTCCAACCTGAACCAGTCTGTGATTGTGTGAACTTGTCATCATTGGAACATGCCTTCTCCCCTTCTTACACAGTGTGTTCCAAGTCCTGCCAATTGTTTGGGCTCTTGGATTCTTTTGGCATGTTCTAAGATACCTTCTGGCAGTGGCATTGCAAGACTGGGGTGCTTGTACTCATTGCACACTAGGTTTTCCATTTTCTAAAAGCAATACAAAGTAACTACTAGATATTATTTTAATGAATAAATACAAGTCATGATTTAGAAATCTGTAATGCTCCCCATATACATTTCATGGATAAAATGCAGTCACTGTAACATATTAATGATCAGTACCAGTAATGAGATTATGCAAATGCCTAGAGTTCCTGAGTTTCTTTTGCCTTTTGGAGTTCAGTGTTTAGCAGCCCAATTACATTAATTACATACCAGCCAAATTACATAAATTGCATTAATTAAAGTTCTGAAATATGCTTAAATAGGCTGTGAAATATTTTCATCTCTGAATCCCTCTTGCTGCTGCAAATGACATGATACAAGATCTAAAGAGTCCACAGATTTGTTCTAAGAGGTGTTTACAGATGAAATGTATATATACACACAAATATATATATATAAGCCTCCAATTATCTACTTCTTCAAATTATTCAAATCTGTGCAAAAAGGTACAACAGAATATGGGTCTGAAAAAATTTCAGCTTGAGGACACAGATTGCAGCATTTTACACCCTCAGATGTGAGTAATTACTTGATTCAGAAAGTAATCACAAGTCAAGTTCAAAAGAACATACTACCTGGTCTTTTATCACTTAGCAAGGGTATATACATACAGAAAAATCCTCTAATTCATGAAATTCAGATAACCCTCTAACTTTTAAGTGGCTTGATGAAATGTGTCATTATGATTTGATACAACTCTTTTCGGACAAGAAATTCAGAAAAAGCTTTAACAACCACCACTACTGATTTGTTCTATTAGTTTAATTATTGAAAAAGCTGCTATTAATATAAATATTATACATAAATATGTGGCTGACTTCAGAAGATGAAGTCCAGATATCTTTCTTTACACATAAAAGGTCACACTTTTGCAAGCCAACCTTTGCAGTTAGGCACAATATTATAACTTTTTTTTTTTACTTAAACCCCCCCTTTGTTCTCTGTTTTATATCTGCTATACTACGAGCAGCTGAGTTACATCTTTGGATATGCCTGTACTCCTATCTCAGGGATAAACAGGAACTGCCTTTCTCAGTGAATTAAGCCCATTCTTAATTTTGTGACCCCTTTATGACACTGCAGGCCATTGCCAGCAGACAAATTAAATGCTACTTAGAAAGTAAATTATTTTAATTTTTGTCTCCTTCTAGCTAAGTATGGAGTCAATATAATCAGGTGTTTCTTGGATGATGGATATTAGATACTTTCTTGGGGTTGTTGACGACTTTTTGACCCATTGTCTATGAAAATGGATGATTCTGTATTGAGATGAAAAAAGGCTCCTTTGTTTGAATGTAGATAGGTTCTGTGAAGATTGTTTTCAACCTTGTGGAAAATACCAGAGTAAGACTTAGTTTAAGTTCTTTCGCTGTAGTTAGTCCTTCCCTGTGCAGCCACCTTTGTACAATGGTGGGCATCACCCTTGCTGAAGAGTCACCTGCCTCACTTGGCTTTTGACTTAGAGTCTATCTCAGTTTGTCCTGTTTGTGAGCCAGTTCTAGTTTCAGGTGCACTGAGGATGTTCCCAGCATATGCTGTGGCTGAGATAGCACCCTTGAGAAGGTCTCTGGTTAACAATCAGAGGTGGAAATGCAGAATCATTGCTGGAGTTTGGTCACCAGCTGGGGTGCTTGTATTTTTCAGCTGCCAAAGCACTGCAGGACCATGGGATGCTCAGGGTTTCTCTTCTAACCCCTCTGTTGTTTTTTTCCTGGTTGTCTTATGCTTAGTCTTCATAGTATGTGGGTGGTAAGTAAAGGGCACTCTTACGTTTGTTCCCTGTGTATATAAGAGATTGAGCTTTCTTCTTTCTGGCACTTGTAAAAGAAGTGTTGTCATCCTCTGTTAAGGAGAGGTAGGAAGCAATACTTTCCCTCAGGCCATAGCTGAGACAGGAGTCATCCATTGTTGTCAGGGTGCTTCTGGTGTCTTCTGTCACCTCCAGCCTTTAAAAGAACAAAATTTTGTTACCATTTCTGCTACTAGGACTGAGTCTATTGGTATAATATGAACAGTTATTAAACCAAATAATGTTAATTTTGTTGTACAAAAAAAATTCCTGCCCCATAAATCAGCAAACATTTCTGTCACTTAGCAACTTTAAAAAAAACCCAGTTCAACAGTAGTATCTAAATATTTTTGGCATCTGAAAAGGAAGTAACATCTATATCCTCTTCTAAATCTGTAGGAAAAATGACCTTAATACTCCACAAAATTTTCTTGCCTTCGTAAGCACATGAATACATTTGGTGAAGGAAGAGTTGTGGAGGGAAATTTACACTTCAAAAATAAAAGGTGCATTTGTTTCTGAGGGTGGTTGTTTCCTCAGCTTCTGAAACCTGACCTACTTTCTCTAGTTACAGTTGTGATATTAGAAATCTCATGAACCTCGAGTTGGGCTGTGTGTTGAGACACACAACAGGAAAGGTTCATTCTAAGAGAATGTGTTTATTGCATCTGTGCTGCTTCATGGATGGCCACCACGTGAACAGGGATAAGCCACTTCTGGCTGTCAGAGCTCACCTCTAAGCCAATGCACAGGACTGTGGCAGTGGTGGTGGATCTCACTAGGCTTTATGACCTGGTTCTTACTCCTGCTCCCTTGGTGGAAAGGCCTCAGGACTCCACTGCATATGTGGATAGTTGGATAGGAAAAATGATGGAATGTTAACTATACTTTCTTTCAAAGTTAGACCCAAACTATTAGTTAGAGATCTGGGCATCTGGTTTCATGGGTTAATTTGCTGTCAGAAGTTTGTCTAATCTTTCAAACTAGTCTCAGGAGAAGAAAATGATTGTGTCTTCTGTGTTGTAAGCACGAGTATATTCAAGGGTGGAAAACACCCTTGTTGTTTCTGGCAGCCTGTTTTGTATGTGGTACCTGTGAATGTTTCTCCAGTTGAAGTTTTTATTCCGCATAACCACAGGAGGAACTTGATTCATCACGGTGTTGTTGTTAGTGCACTGGGTAAGACAAGGTGTTGTGAGGACACAGCAGAGACCATCAGCAACTTCTGAACAGGGAAATGAACACACAGAAAGTTAATCTTTACTCACTGTTTTCTTTCCCTGGTGCATGCTCAAAATAAAACAGTTTTGGACTCAGTAGTAATAGTCAATAAATTGTGTGTTCTCATCAAGGACACAGTACTACAGGCTTAACTTTCTTTTCCTTGTACCTCTGCCTTTTAGTTTATCATGGGGTGTATTTCATACACTACAAACAAGGAACTGAGGCAGAGAAAGAAAAAGTGGCTTGCTCAAAGTCTAGAAGGAAGTGTGTGAAAGAGCATAAATTTAAACCCAGATTTTGAGTCCTCAGTGAGTTCTGCTTTTACCTCCCATTGTCTCAGCCATGCAAACAGAGTCAAATAAAAGATCAGATTGGATTGTGTGTGCACCTATTCTGCTGTGGAACATGGCTGTGGAATGAAGCAAGGTTCATGTGTTTCTTTCATCTATGTTTCTGCTCTCTATCTGCTTCTTGCTCCACTAGGAACATTTGTGTGTGTTCTGCCCAAGTAGAGAACATCATGGCTGAATGCTGATGTTCTATATCCTTGAGTCTTATTTCAGGGTGAAATTCTGTGGGGGAAGGAGGAGAGCTAAATCTCACCATGTCTCCTCTTACACCTATAAAGTAAAAATGTTAATTGTTACAAGTTTTGGGTTGCCCCATCCCAAATTTTAGACTTCAATCGTTTGCTTCTATCTAAATGGTGAAAGGTGTTAACTAACTAAAGTTCAAATAAAAAAAATATATCAATTATAAATATAAAAGTAAGAATCCTGTCCAAATTCTTACTCCTCTGTTTAGATCATTGGGCTTGAAAGTTTCTTTTGCATGTTTTGAATGTGAATATAACTTTTCTCCCCAGTTTATCAGACTACTTTATGGACAGCACACATTTTCATTTACCTATGAAACACACAGATATGTTAACTTCACACTTCTGGAAATAGAATACCCATTACTAATTAAAGCACAGAACCTATTGTTCTCTTGTAATGTTTAGGCAATTAGTTTATTGCAATTTCCTTCCTCATTTTAAAATGTCCTCGTTTAATGCTTGGTAACTGCAGCCGCTTAGTTGTGTCATTTGTCAAATTCACTTGTCTGACACAAGTTAAATTGCCATAAATCTGGAAAACTATCATTGAAAAAGTGTCATTCACTGGACTGATATTAGTGAAAATGACAGCTGAATCTAGAGTTGAGCTAACAGCTTGAACCCCTTGAGATAACTTCTGGCCCAAATAGTGTTATTGACATGGCCATAAAATACCATGTTCCAAGGCAGAGCCTATCTGGCTTTATTTAGCTGAGTTCTTGGGTAGATTTCAGTTGTACTGTCAGGGGCAGTTATTTGTATTTGGGATCAAAACTAAAGTAAAAGTTATACACCAAAACTTTTTCCATTGCTTGTTCCGTGGCAGTGTTTGCAAGTCTTGGGCATAGGCAAAACGTCTTGTTCTGGACCTTTGATAGATAGGTTTACATTTGCCAAGGGAAAATATGTTTATTTTGCACTTCTTTTTACCTGAGTAGTGATTCACAAGGTCTTCAAGGCACTGAAAGGTTTGCCGTGGGGAGATGTAATACCAGTTATTTGGGAGGCGGAAGATCCTGTAATGTTTCACTTGCCTGTGCCGCACCGACAAGGAATATAACCCTGGAGGAAAAGAACTGATTACACCAAAGTAGGGCCCCAATTCTGGATGTGTAACAGTGACCACAAATAGAGTATCTGTAAGATGCGGCGCCATTACCCAAAACATTCCAGAAAGATCTAAAAACTCCTGAGTGGCCATCCTAAATTCTACCTAGATGATATAATTTATACTTAAGTATATTAAAGGGTACAACATCAGGGCCTGAGATGTTGCTTGAATTTAATTTTCCAGTGTGTTTTTCCTTTATTTTTACTGGTATGGGATTTTTTTGAAATGGCATAAAGGAAATAGACCTTTACAGAAGTTGTTTTCCTTCTGCTGAAGAGGGGGATCAGACTCTGCTGGTATGCTAATTTAGTCAGCTCAGAGTAATGCCATAGCTGAGACCTGATAATGCAATCCTGGCAGGAGGAGGCCACTTGAATTTTTCTGTTTCTTTGTTTAAAACTATTGTGCAGCAATGACTGAATGCTAATCCTAAATATCTTTGAATTTAGTATAGGTATTAAGAAGCTAATTTGCCTGTGGTATGCAAGAGATCAGAATAGATGATTGATTGTTCCCTTCTAACTTTAGTATCATGATATTAGGATGTGTTCTGATGCTTCAGAAAGGGAAGATATCACATTGCATGTGGGAGTTATATTCAGCCTGGAGAAGAGGAGAGTGACCATAGACTTCATAGCAGTCTAGAGCTTCCTCATGAGGGGAAGCAAAGGGACAGACATCTTCTTCTCTCTGGTGACCACTGACAAGACTCAAAAGAATGGCCTGAAGCTGTGTCAGGGGAGGTTTAGGTTAGATATTAGGAAAAGGTTCTTCACTGAGAGGGTGTTTGGGCACTGCAACAGGCTCCCCAGGGAAGTGGTCACAGCACCAAGCCTGACAGAGTTCAGGAAGCATTGGATAATGCTCTCAGGCATATGGTGTGATTCTTGGGGCTGTCCTGTGCAGGACTGGGAGTTGGATTCAGTGATCCCTATGGGTCCCTTCCAACTCAGGATATTCTATGATTGTATGATTCTATGTTCCCATTGAAGAGAATAAAAGTATAAAGTCAGTACAGTACAATGCCCATGTAGCAACCGAAAGTAAGTAAAACTGAAGGCATGTCATTTAAAAAAAATTAATAAAAGAACCCTCTGCTTATATGGGAAACACGCTTATCAGCCACACCCACTGCTGTGTGTTTTACAGCTTCTTGAAGCAATCATTTGTGGACCAAGGCAAACTTTTCCTCCATTGAAAAGTCCCCCTGCCTCATAAGCTTTGCATGTGACCAAAGTAAATAACAGTGTTTAAACAACTATGTCCTGTTTGTGCTGATGTCTGTGGAACATTCCATGGCCATCACTAACCCTGTTTCCAGCACCACTTGTAACTTAGGTGACTGGTGAAGGCTGGCACACTGCACTGGGTGCCTTTGCCTTCCCTATTCTATACATCTTCTGGGTTTGGGTTGACCCATATGAATCAGGGCAGGGAGTGAATTTAAGAGCTGTAAAACTTTTAATGCCTGAGATCAAGTGGGAAAAAAAATCTTATTTTCTCACCTTTCCTAGTTTCACTCTCTCTGATCATGAAGGAGCCGACTTTGGTGTTGGGTAGCTGTAGAAGTTCCTCTGCTTTTTCTCTTCCCAGCCCTTCAAATAACCAGCTGTGAAGCAGGAAAAAACAAATTCTGAAATTTGGACTCCAGTGAAACAGAGAGCAGCATGTGGCTGTGAAAGTGCTGCATTAGCCAGGAAAAGTGACTGCAAAAATAACACTGTGGCTTTCTATAGTTATTCTCTCAACTATGTCCAGGCATATTTCCCCAGTTTATGGAGAAAATCATGCTGTCTTTGAGTTCCATTAACTTTTGTGAGAATAAGAGAAGAGTGAAATAGATTTGGACTTCTTAGGAAAACCAAAACCTTCTGGGCTGCCTTGTTCTGAACTGTTGGGGACAGATTCATGTGGTATATTATTGATGACATTATTAGTTACATCTCTCCAATCCATTTAAACCACTTTGTTAACCCCAAATTGTATCATAAATAAACCCCAAATAAGTTACAACTATTTTGCTTATTCTAGGGAACAGTCCAGCCATTTAAGCTAATTGGCTTTGTGAATAAGGGAAACTGGAATTAGTCCTACTGATTTTCACCATAGCTTGGTACACTGCTGTGTGTTGCCACAACCAGTGTCTAACCATGTAACTGATCTTGTTCAGCTGGTATAGAGTTGCTGACATTTTATTTTACAGCTGTGTTCATGTATTTGATCCAGTTTGCTGCCATCAAAATGGTATTGGGGGAGCTTCAGACAATACCTTCCGATACCATATCTGTGCCCTGTCTTTGGGAAAGCATCTCTATTTCAGGAGGATATAAAAACATGTTTAAATTTAACTACTCGCATAGTTCACAGTGAAATTCACAGCTTGTATCCTTAAAATTAAACAGGTATTAAGACTTTTGCCAGAAAAATTTTAAGTGTGTGCTTTAATGTTATTTTTCCTGACTGGTATCTAGGGCAACAAGAAACCTCTGAACCTCCCTTAGTCCTTCCAGTGAGAGAGTTTACATTCCTGAATAACTTATTAGTCTTTCTATTTGTTCTTTTTGGTCTTTTTTTCATGAGCAATTGCAGCTTAAATTTTACTCTTTCTAAATATTAAAAATTCATTGTAAATAAGCTCTCTTTATCAATGTCTTAAAATTAGAGATCAGTCCATACAACAGAAGTATGTTAAATATCTTATATAACATTTGAGGTGTTTATGGCCCTTTCCACCATTTGAAAGAAGGATTTTCATTTTCACATCATCTAAACTGAGATGGGATTTTGATGTTCTCAGTTTTCAAAAGAGCAATTTTAGACTGACAACAAACACAATTTCTGTCTAATCACTATTGGCAATGTTTGGATGACAACACTGAATTACTAATCAGGGCAGTATATGTAGAAATGTAATGTTGAAATGCTACAGGAAATACATTTACTTACCCATGGTAAACCTTTGCTACATATTTTCCTGGAATATAGTTTTCTCGACCTGTTGTAAGGGAATGGACTCTCCACCATCCTCCTTCACTGTGTGAAAGCAAGAGAAGGAATATTTTCAGATGTGCTTTCAGTTTGCCCTCGTTTTAGAAATTAGTCAAGACATACAGATTAGCCTGTAACTTCCTGTCTGTACGCCTAAATCTATGTACTCAGAAAGGGACCCAAGTTGGTTTCATTTAGAGTATTTCCATTTCTAAACTTACATGAGGATTAAATTTGGACACCGAAATAAGCTACATTTGTTCCATTTAAATTGCATAAGTAATAAAATATTTTTCTCTAGTTAAAAGAAGGATAAATACTCAGTGGTTAAACCATTCTGTGCTCTGCCTTCCCACAACTAGACTTGCACTGGTATCCAAGATACTCAGTTTATGACTAAGTATGCTGTGTCTGGACAGATCTGTTACTCCTGTAACAGCAGGGTAGAGGTACTTGGGAAATGGGCCCTGTCTGCTTGGGAACAGGCCTTCAGTCCAACAGAATCTGATTTGTGGTTTGCTGTTTTCCTTGTCTTCAGTGACTTGCAGAGCAGAGTCCGATAAAAAAGACCTTGTAGCTGAAACTAGGTGATTAGACTTACGTATTTTCACTGATATATGTTCAGTTATTGCTGTGATATGGAATGCTGCCTTTGGCTTTGGAATCCCTTTGGAAATACAGGGTGTCAGGAATTTTCACAGGGATGCTGCAGAGCTTTAGTGATAGTGCAAGGATGCTGATGATTGCTAGGTTTTCTCCACCTTCACTTTAAGAGTTTGAATCCAAATAATAGTGTCTTGTGTTTGAATGCTGTTTTTGTGGCTGTCTGTATGACTGCTCCCAAATAATGTCCAGACTGCAGACCAGTGTCTCAGTGTATGTCACAACAACTCAGTGGAAAACACTTAGGTTAAAAGTCATGAGTTGTAGCTGCTGGGGCCATGGTCCAGAATTTGACTCCTCATCACCTATGCTCTGGTCGTGCCATGCTACTCTTCTTTCTCACTGTATTTTACTTCTTTGCATAACCTGGGAAAGAGAACATACCTACAGCTTATGAGCAGCACGAGGTTGCAGGCAAACAGTGCTACCAACCTCAGCACATACTCCAGCAGGGAAGAACAGGTCCTTCATTAGGACACTGTGGTTTACATTGGACTGTCTTGTTTTCTGTGAACAAGCTCATGATTCAAAACAGGGAGAGGAAAGCTCCCATCAAGGCTTGCTTTGGCTCTTACTTACTATTAGGAGAAGCTCTTGATCACTACACAGCAGACAAACATGTCAAAAACTTCTGCTGCAAAAGCCTTGTTCTTTTAGAAGCTGTTAATCCAGCTCATAATATGATCATAGATTATACTTTGCAGCACATATGACTTGTCACGCATGTCATTCCCATGGTATGGGCATGTATGGTTATGTGGTGGTGTGAGGGCTCAGAGCTGATGAAAGCTGGGAGTGAGGCTTCAAGCTCCAATTTCCAAGCTAAAGCCATTGGTGTACCATGTTATGTATGTTATGCAAACTGTAGCAAGGCTTAAACTGCTAGAAGTTACCAAAGAAGAGCTCCCCTCATTTAGGGAAGCTCTCCAACAGCAGAAAATTCATCTAGTGGTATTGGCTGAGCCTTGTGACTTCTAGGTTCAGGGATGCAGGGAAAGCACTTTGTCAGCAGAACATAACTGGGTCAGATCCACATAGCCCCATATCTTGTTGCTGGCAAAAGTTATTGCAAGTCATGGTGGTCTGGAGAAGAGTCTGCGAATTCACCAATTGTCTGTGATACTTCTCTTCAGTACTTCTGTCCTTCAGCTGTTTGACCTTCTCAGGTAGAGAACTTTTTACAATGAATCGAGAAGTCCTCAGAGGATTTCTCCACTATGAATGTATCTGGTCTCCCCTTGAATCCATCTACTCCTTCAGCTGCAAAAATGAAATCTTTCCTTTCATTTTGAGCAGTTCTAACAGTGGCTATGGGGCTGAGAAAATTCTAAGAGGTCACTGTGTGCCGATACAAATTGTGCATAAGTGATTATCAGGGCTGCTGGCTTCTATTTTTCAAGTGTTCTCACTCTTTGTCTGGCAATACTTGAACTATTCTTAAGGTCAGGCTGAACTAGTGCTCTTAAGCCTACTTCCTTCTGGGGCTCATAAATTTTTTAAGTGGAACTGGCTGGGAAATTTTCGACTTTTTTTTTTCTCCACTAAGAAAATACAGAATCTATTAAAAAATAAAAGAAGGAAAAAAAAAACAAGCTATTTTAAATTTTCTTTTTGTTGCCTTAAGTCTAGGATGAAAGTCTAAGACCTAATCATATTTGAGTTGTTAGATTAAAAATGGCAAGAGAGAAAATGACAGACAGACTTGACATGGAGAAATTCATAATAATTTTCCTCTTCTGTGTGACTCAAACATGTTTGACTCTGTTGTCCACTGACATTGGAGAGGTTAATTTCTTAAAATAATTTTTCAAAGCAGAATTGTGTTTTGACTCCTACTTTGGAATGGAATCTGAATCCAGCTTGAGAGCCATGTCAGAAGAATCTAAGGATCAAAGACCAAGCTGAAATCCCAAATGCTTAAACTACAGGGGAATTTATACTGTGACTAAGCATCCTTTATTGCAAATTCTGAACACAATTGATTTTGCTAAACTGCAATCAGTTTGAGACAGGTGCATAAACCAGAGCTTTGCACCAATTGTAGCAAAATGAATTAAAACAAAATTGATCAACTTACTCTGATAGCACACGTAATTTTTCCCCTACATGAAATATAGGCTGGCTTATGTCTGCTGAGGGATAGTCATAGAGGACAGCAAGGAAGTCACTCTCCTGACCTGTTAAAGAAGAAAGAAATTGTTACTTCAAATGAAAATAGAGTTCTGAAGCAAAAATTGATTTTTTCATTAAGTATGTCATATATTACATAGTAAGTCAAATGGGAAAAAAATCTCACTCTGAAATGTCACTTGGTAAACATAAAAAGCTAAAGATGAACCTATAACTGTATAAGAAGAATGTGAAGATACTAGAAATTTAAAAAGTCATTTGTGTAATTGTAAGCAACTAAATTTAGACCAGTTTTTCTAGTAATTACCATATTTAAAGGACACATTCAGTTTGAAACTAGAAAAATTAGTATTTATAGTAGTAGGAAGTAATCCAGTTTGATTAATGCCACTGTCTCTAATTGCCTCCAGCTACAGTTTTGTAGCATAATATTTAAGAGAAGGAAGATGGATGTTGAATTGTTCCATCATTTAACACACCACTGATACTTTTCAAAGGCAAGAAATTCATTTAGATCAAGGTCAGTGAGAGCATGGCCAATATCCCCATTTTCATCTCTTTTAAAAATTCTTTTAATGAACAACCAGTGCACTTTGTTCTCCCTCCTTGTGTGGAAACTGTGGTAGCACATGATGCCCTGAGCTTCAATGAAAGAAGAGGGGCCCATGGGTGTTTAAGACCAAAGCATTGTTTTAAGACCAATGGCAATTTGCAGAGCTGAGGTCAGTACAGAGATAAGAAGACCTTCGACCTTTTACATCAGCTGGGATGACTCTGGGCCTTGCAGCCCTGTGTAGGACACATGCTGAGTCTCCTGGGTTTTTGAAGAATGGGGCACTTTGCTCATAACTGGGACTATCAAGCATTCAAGAGCTCCTTATCCAGCAGGACATGGTGATAATGCTGACAGGTGGGAGGTTCAGAAAAGTGGTGTGCTGGATGTGTCTTGAGCTCTTTGGTAGAAGTCTTGGCAAGGGGGATTGTGACATACACTGCCTGCATTTCTCCTGGGAGTAGGTCCCTTCCCTCTGCACATCACAGTACCCTCCACCAGCACACAGGGAGGCAAAGATTCCCTCTGGCTCCACCAGGATCAGTGCCCTGATCCTTAGCTACACCATCTAGCAGTACATTTGCAGAGGTGGTTTGATCTCCATACTTGCCTGTGCAGCTTTCTGTCATTTAGTATAGATTCTTTGCTAGCTTCTCTTTAAGGAAGAGAGCTTTTTAGGGAAACCTAGAAGAAGCATCCTGAATGAATGCTGAAACTGGCTCTGTGTTTGCAGCCTATGTGTTTCAGGGCCGTAGAAATAACTCATGGTGATAATGATGAAAGGCTGAAAGAAACATGCAGAAAAACACAACAGGTTGCCCAGGGAAGCTGTGGATGCCCCATCCCTGGAAGTGTTCAAGGCCAGGCTAGATGGAGCCCTGAGCAATATGATCTAGTCAGTGGCATCTCTGCCCATGGCAAGGGTGTTGGAACTAGATGATCTTTACAGTTTCTTCCAACTCAAACCATTCTATGATGATTTTGACAATGTGTTTAGTATTAGTATTAGTAGTGCCATGGTCTTCTTAGTTAATTAGTGTCACTGAATTGAATAGGACTTGTCCAGTACAGCAAACTGCCATGATTAGTCTATTGTAACTTTTTATATAATGAGTTCAGCCCTACTGAAGAAATTATGTGCTAAGATTTTGACTGTTTCCCTGTTCTGCACTAAGAATTTAGAGACACCTTCTCTGTCTCTGAATCTGCTTAGAACCTGAGGCTAGCAAGACCTAAGCATTGGTGCTGAATCCTTTTAGACAAAGAAAATCTGGAAGAAATACAGGCCAGAAGGTGCATTTTAAGAACTGCAAAATGAGGATAAAGTTCAGTCACCTAATTTCTCATTACAAATTATAAAACAGCAGCTCTACATGGAATATATATTTTTTTTTAGCTTAGTGACAAGGCCTTTAGCAATGCGTTTTTTAAAGTTGTGCTGTTTACATATAAATGTTCTGTTTCCATACTGGAAGGGTGGAAAACAAGTGCTTTTCTGTTCTCTCTCCTTGCATATTGCTGATTTGCATTTCGTTACGCACTGCGGAGTACGTGATTTTTTCTTTACTCTAGCAAGACCTGTATTACTTTGCTTGCACTTTCATCTTTATATGCATTTTTGTTTCAATTTTGCATGTCAGTTTGTAGCTCTGAAAAGGAAGGAATTCATCATAGTGTTATCTTCCACATCCATGCAAATGTTACTTCTTAAACTACATATGTTAAAGTGAAAGTAGAGGAGTCAAAAACCTCCTTTTTCTCACAGAGGACTCCATTTTAATTGGTATTTAAAGCAAACCTCACTGTGTTTTTTGGTCTCATAAAACATCCCACTGCACTCTACAACATTTCACAGAACCCATACTGGCTCCTTATAAACACAAAAGCCTTGAAACAGGAACTAAGCAAATTACACTGTTTCTCCACACTTGAATTTCACGGTTATCTAGTATTTGATCTGATGAGTTCCCCACACTTTCAAGCTGTAAAAGACAAAAGATTTGCCTGATACTTTCTAACACAAGCTCTCCTCCGCAGTTACACCTGAAATGGAACAACTCAAAAGTTAGAGTGGAACAAAAGTTAGAGTGGAAAGATCGAAGCACAATCATTTCCACTGACTCAGGTATTAATTCTGGGTGGTTTTTTAGGAGTAGGAAATGAATGTGAAATACGTGCTAATTTTAGATGTCTGCATCCCTGAATGTCTTGCAAAATGTGAGGCTGAATATTGTATCCTTCAAATTATTCATTGTGAATGGACTATGAAGCATTATTAGAGAATAGGAAGAGCATAGACAGAGCATCCAGATCCAGCTCATCACCCTTAACAAACAGCTGTGCTGTGCACTGGTGTGGTCCATGTCTGGAGTGGGAAGGAGCTGTTTAGGCATCAGCTCCATGGATCATCCAGCTTTACTGTCCA